GTTACATATCATACTGAATGATCTTCACAATAAATTGCTACAAAACATATTGTATTGAATAAATGTCATTGGAAATATCATGAACAAATTACCATAGTGAATTAGATACCGATTGAATGTGAAACAGAAATCTAATTCGGTTAAAAAAAAACATAATTTCACTCTGACATACCGTTCCATCAAGTAAACAATATTCTTTATGTTATATAATGAAGAAAAATTGAAAAAAAAGAACGGAACACCCAAAACTGGTAAATATTCAAAAAATTTCGGTTTTGCTTCAATCTAACAACAACTAGTTTTAATTTGGATTCATTTTTAGCAATCATTTAAATGAAGCACATTTTTGTAGACTGATATTAATATGACTGCAGTTCTATTTATTGGCTAGTTACAAACTCTGTATTAGTGTCGGAAGGGGTTTTGTGGAGATCGTAGTAGTTTCAACAGTTGAGATCTTGAGTCAATTGAAGCTAGACCACCATGGAAAACCTGGAAGCACTGGACGAGGCGAGGTCGTGGATGCGGACTGCTGAGGAGCCTCACAATTGACTCATGATCTCAACTGTTGAAACTCTATACTAAAAGATCTTCATTCTATTCTAAAACTATAGTTGTTTTATTATGTTCGTTCATTCCTAACCCAAGCGTTGTGTAAGGCAATATAGAAGTATGGATGTAAAGAATGCAAATGAGTTCAGTGTAGTAAATCTGCTATAGTCTATTTGTATAACCTGGTAAACTTTTATTATAGGTTGTAATAAAGTTGATCGTAATCAAATGTTTAATGATAATGATTATTTTGATATATTTACGTACTGTGTTCTTGAAAACAAGCAAATCATGAAATTTATTTAGAATTTCGAACAAAGTGAAATATTGTATTTTCAGTTTTGGAAGTTATATAGTTTATATCCCTTGTTCAAAAGGATAAAACATCAATATATATCATTTTTTGCTCTTACTTTTGAAAATACCGTTGAAATATACCGCTTTCGTCTATTCTGAGATATATTAGTTTACTACAATGATATTATGAAGATTTCATACAATGAGTGTGTATGTCTTGGTTATAGTCTTTAAGTTAAAATGTTAACTGACTGTCACACAATACTATCAGGGACTAAGTGACATATTTCAAGAACAGTAGATTTGATAACTCAAAGCTTTATACTGTAATTTATGGAAAAAACATTGCACTAAAGATATGCACCAGTGATCTAATTGTAGTCATTCACGTATATCTTTTGCATTGAAACATATTGTTTGTAATTAATGTCTGAAGCTATTTTACTTTTAAATAGTCAACAGAAGTTTAAAAACTGTATTCTCTAGACTATAAATTTTCTAGTTAAACTGTCAAAAGCGTCAAGATATATATATATATATATATATATATATATATATATATATATATATATTTGTGATGTCTTGGATTCCTAAACGTTCCGTGATTAATTAAATGTTTATTTATGTTTATCAAATAAATATTGTCAATCAATGTATACAAGGTAGTGAACTGATATTGTTCAAAATATCTCAACAAACAGGCTTCATAGTTTTGCCTGGTGACTTAAGATGACGATTATTGAAAACAGTCTCATTTCGATGTATATGCAGTGTGCAGTGTGACAAATTTGTATTCAAACCGAAAATCATAACTACTACACTATGCACCTGCTGATAAGATTTTCCATACTATAGTTAAAGTCTATTTTTAAAATTATTTTGGAATAAATCACATTTTAAGGTAGTTAGCCATAATAAAATGATTAATAATGAGATAAATCATGCATTTATTCAAAATAGTTCCATGGCAACAACCATTACCCTGTATACATCATCTTCATTTGTATAGTCATAATTATTATGAAAATATATTTTGTACATAAAAAATACTTCTGATATCTGTCTATTCATTTATTGATTACTTAGTAATAAGGTAAACATAAAGAAATGAATTGATTTTCCCTAGTTTATTTCTTTATTGAACTCCATACTACATAGAATATAGAAATATGTACTTCTAGAATAAAACAAAAGTTATGAGACAATGCATGATTGGTATAACATTGATATGAATTCAGTAGGAAGAAAAAAGTAATATCTGTACTTTGTGAAGCATCTATAATCGTGTGAACATATATATATATATATATTACTGTAATTAAATTCATTCGTTTCAAGCTTATTTCATTGAACTTTAGTAAATTGAATTACATAACATTATCCGTGTAAGATACTATGCTTGTAAATGTAGTTAACTTCATCAATCATATTAAAGATAGACTTAGTTTAATTTCTCAATCAATGTCAAATAGCTTTACTATTAGTTTTTTCTTTATTTCACACGAATTCATTTTGTGTATTATTCATAATGGATTGTTTTTCAATCGAGATCAAATAAACATTTTAAAAATTGTTTAAATTCAATTAACCCAATATGTTTTGTTTATGATTTCATTTTTACTTTATTAAAGAAAATGTCATAAACAATCTTGTATTTTCAGAAGGGGTTTGTAGAGATTTTAGAAATTTCAATAGTTGAAATCATGAGTCGATTGAAGCTAGACTATCATGTTGAAGGGTTCCATACTAGAATAAAATGTCTGTTTAATGCTTCCAGATTTTCCATGGTGGTCTAGCTTCAATTGACTCATGATTTCAACTATTAAAATTTTGTTTTTATCATTTTTCTTTTGTAAAAAGAAAATCTTATCCCGTAAAGTTGAATGAAAGACACTAGACATTGTTCATTCCATTTTGTTATAACTTGTGACCGCCGATTAAAAAGGCAGTGAATTATCGGTCGAAACAAGGACGCGTGAAACACGTGCGAGCAGCCTGGAGTCCTGATTGGTCCTGCTTCCCTGCTAGCCCAGCCAGTTAAGTCCAGAACACCAGTCTCAGCCTCTACAATATGAATCATTGTATTCCAAACATACTCTGTTTATATACCAATCAAGCAGACCACAACGTACCAATAAATATGAAACAATATTTGTACAAGAATTAGCCAGATGTGGCTGTGAATGAGGGAGGTAGTAACTAATATACTAGGTATAACTCAAGAATGGTAAAACGTATAATAATAGTTTATGAGTCAAAATAACGCTTATAATAAGAGAAATATGAATATCCATAGTTAGTTACTTAATAATTATACAACAGAAATATGCGTTAGTATTGGTCCATTAATAGATTCCAAAAGTTACCATTCATTATTCTTGTTGGTACATAACACATTTGTGACATTACTTTCTTTACATAAATCTAATTGTTCTTTCTTTATCAAAGAATTCATTGGTGACGTTTTATTATCTGTTCTAAATATAATTTGTGTAGACATTGCTCTTTGATTGATTATAGTCTGAAATGTATTCAAATATAAAGGTTTTGATCAATTGCTGACTCAGCTTTAAGAGATTATATATTGTTCAACATTTGACTTTTGGCCATATTGATGTGTATCTGGAGGTAGTTGTTCTTTTGTAAAAAAAATTAACATATGATGAAATATTATAGTTCAGAGGATTGAAAACTTGAGATTATCGTTTGAAATTGAAGTGATATTTTAAAATCCTTGGGTTTTTGGTATTGAATAGCTGAATGAATTTCTTTTGAAACTGAAAACATTATAGTTACTGATATTCGTAAAACAACATTGGTCGTTATACGGAAGTTCAGTAAATCAAATCAAATTGTGTTTTGCTGCGTTGATAGTTTATCATTAATTTAGTAATCAATAGTAGGTCGTTCACATCTTTAACCATTTGGTATTTTACAACCTATTGATTTTTTTAACATTTTAGGCTGGCAATATACATAACCTGTTTGGGGAATTTAAAGGAAAACTTTACTTATCTGTTAGTAAACAAAGCAATATGTGAATATGCAATTCCAGACTTTAAAATATAGTTTTACATTTAGATTCCGAGTTCATTTTTTACGTTTTTACTAATTAGTAACAAAGAAATTTTACGACAAACAACGAACAACATTATTAAAACGCTCAAATATGGTATTTAAGCTAAGAATCTGAGAAAGTAGAGTATCCGATATAATTTCTTTCTCGTATTTTCTTCCACAAGTATATGCGTCAATGACCTTATAGCAATCAAGCTGAGTAAATCCAGACCATTTGACGACTATGCTGTTAATAAACCATAAATCTTGAATTCAAGATCAATATTTTAGATTGTAATTGATTTTTGACACAATACCAGTATGCATGCAAAATTATAGTTTACTACTGCTATTTACTACTATATCAATAATCTGGTCAAATCTTCTTACTAAAACTAAAGCATGTACAATCATTATTCAGTAGAGACTGTATAATTTAAAGTTAATTACTGATTTTCTACAAAGTGTTATCTTCAGCTGATGACATAAAATAATTTCACGTTATTCAAATTACATTGTATTACAACAGACAGAAATGTAAAATGCTTCAAATGATTCACATATATACTCAGTTATAAAAAAAAGGTTAATCTAGTGTTTTGTGTACGTTCTCAGTAATTAATTAACAGTAACTCTACACTTTAATAATTTGCATCTTTTCTACAGCACTAAATATATTCTTATTCATGCTTATTTAAACTCTGAATGTAATCCGTGTCGGGTAGAAACAGGTGTCTACCTCAGTACAATGGAACATGGTCGCAAAATTTCGTGGATCGGTTGAGGTTAGACATTAACACCATTGAATAACGGCTCAGTAGTCCAGTAGGTTAAGCGTTCACGCGCGAGACTGAAGGACCTGAGTTCGAATCCCGCGGGCGTGATCGTGGATGTGCACTACTGAGGAGTCCCACAATAGGACGAAACGGCCATTCAGTGTTTCCAGTTTTTCAATGGTGGTCTAACATCAATTGGTTCATGATCTCAATCAAAAACTTAACAATCTCCACAACTTCTATACTGATAATTGTTTGATTTATTTGACATAAAACAAATGTCATAATATAAGTCATTTTTATTTACATTTTATTCAGTTAAAAATTATTGATATGAAGAAAGACGGTTCTGGTGACCTGAAATCTGTCACAACATCCGGTCCACAAAATATTAAAGGATTATGGAAACGAGCCTTTCATTCTTTAAGAAAAGATAAGGTAAGTAATTAGTGAAAATTTTATCTTTTTAAAGAATAATAAAAAAAATCTTTCAAGATTAACATGAAAAATTACTTTCATTAAACTTGTATATCTTCTTCTTTTGAAAAAATGGAACCACAGTTGTATCTAACTCTGGAATAATTCACAATATGAATGTTGCTACCATTAATTGCAAGACAGCTTGAATAAACTTTTATTATAAGCCGAATAAAATCAAAGTAAACATAGATAGCATGTGATTTATAATTCCAAAATGATTGTCAGTCCATATTAGTGTATCTATACGTTAGTGATAATGGCTACAGACAATGAAGACCTTTTAGATATTTTATTCATTGATGGCTTTCACACTATTGATTAATGAATTCAATAATCATACCAAGATGGTAGTCATAATTATTAGTCTTCAGTGAAATTTTGTCATGTTAAATGAGCGTACGTTTAGGGCCTTAAGCCTCTATTCACCAATATTACTCATATCGTTTTCTGTATGCTACACAATTATTATCAAGTAAACGTTATTTAATCCAAATGTATCTAGACTCTATACCTAAAGCGTGATATTTATGGATCATTAGCACTGATTGATTTTGTCCCTGAAAAAAATATATTTAGTTTCTAAGAAAATCGGGAAAATATATTTCAAATCAGTAGTCAATATACCTAAACTGATGTACTGTAATTTACTTGTTTGCCAAATGTTGATTAGTATTTTATGCGTTGAGATCGTATTCAATTGAACTAAATGTTCACATCAATAAGAAATATAACTAATGAGTTAACAAACTGTTGAGAAGTGAATTATGTTACCAGTACAAATGATAATATATGAAGATGTAACATACTAATTGCTAGATTTGAAGCTATCACGAGTTCACATAATCGGCGAACGACAACAAGATTCAGTGACCGAAGACCAGTAAGCTAGCTATTGATGGGTGCCAGCCCCACTAACTAGAAGGAGAAGTCCAAGCTTGGAATGGGAAGTATATTCTGCAAAACAGCCAGAAACGAGCGATACCAACAAACACAATTCAAAAAGTATATATATAGTGCAAAACCGTCCTTGGGGAGAGTTACCAAATAGCATACTAAAAGATTTAAGAAATCAATAGCATTTAAGATATTTCCCAGTGGGAAATACGACATGAAGGGACAAGAGCGCCTTTAGCGCGAAAACAAAGAAATTCAAATTTTCTAAATAAATTACAAAATTAGATCCTTTCCCAAGTGAATTCTGGGGATCTGGCGTCCCCAACACTGATACACTAACTATTTTAATTAATGTGATATTTATTACAAACAATAGAAGATCCTACAACTAACGTGCCGATATACTCAATTTATCACATTTGTAAACATAATTTATCACATAAAAAAGTAAAACAACAGTTTTTTTACAAATGTAGTCATTAAGGCTTTGAATATTTACTTATTTAATAAGACATTCTAATATTAAATTTACAGACTGATAAAGATCAAATTAAACGTAAAGAAAATGGTAATCAACCAACGGATCCTCAAACACCAGAGGGTAAATTATTTTATTGAGTTTTCTATTTATATTACTTATGAAAATGAAATATTCATTACCATTTTACTGTAATTTAACAAAATCGTTTACACTTCAAACAAAATGACAATACATTCATTAAATTCTATTAACTGATTTATGTTTAAATTAGTAAATGGTAGTTTACTATAATCATTCAATAGTTCAAAATTTAAAGAAGAATATCCCATTTTGTGTTATATTGGAAAAAGATGAATACCAGTTACGGTAGAAATATATTTTAGTAAGGATACTATTGATGGAGTTTTGTTCTCTGATCTGGATGGTTTAGTCGTAGAGCGTTTATCGTTCCTCTGAATGATATCATCAGCACGAACTTCAGGTAGAAGTGAAGTGTTTGAATTTTTTCATATATAGATCACAATTTGTCCTGTATACTTCTATGTTGATTGGTTCTTGTTGACCTTAAACCTGTTATTGTTTACTTCTTTGTTTTGGTTGTATTACTTCACTTCTACCTAAAGTTTGTTTTGATGATGTCGTTCAGAAGAAAGATGAAATCTCTACGACTAAATCATCCGACAATAAGAATAAAACTCCTTCAAAATCATCCACCTGAGCTACAAATCTTCTCCACTATACTAAGGATACATTCATGCATTCGATAACGAATTTCATTTTAATCATAAATAGTTTACCAAATGAATATGGATAAATATGAATGATGTATAATTGAGCTTACAACTTTATAATAGTGATAGATCAATTGATCATTAGAAGAAACATAGTTAAAATTATTATTAATGCATATCTATTGATATGCATTTATATAAGTGTTAAAGAAATAGTATATAAGACAATCTTATTTAAAAAGGAAGAAAATAAATGGACAAAAGAAGAGATATTTTATATTTAAGAAATCAACCTGATCATATAGATTCATTATATTGAAAGATCGTTTGAAGAAATAAATGAAAAAGGAATTTTTTCAAAAATCATAACATTATAATACTTATGATCGAACACTAGAAGGTATTCAGATAGTTCTATTAGTTTTTGGCAGCAATGTAATGAACGCGAACACAAGTAGGGACAATCGAATGTATTTGAATACAAAATTACAGAATATCTTAGTAAAATCTGAGAACTATACGGTAAATACTTCATTTGCAAAGTGTCAATCAGTCGTCTCAGACTTTACTGTTTAGTCATTACCACAGCAATCACTCACTGCTCTCGTTCTCTTTTCTTCAATCTTCTTAACCATTTGCTTTTAGGTATTACACTTCCGATTGATGATACGTTACTTACTTACTTACACCTGTTACTCCTAATGAAGCATAAGCCGACGACCAGCATTCTCCAACCCACTCTGTCCTGAGCCTTGTTTTGTAGTTCCATCCAATTACTGCTCATTTTTCTGTCTCAATTCCTCGGTTTAATGTGTATCTTGGTCTTCCTCTCCTCCTTTGTCCTTGAGAATTCCATGTGAGGGCTTGTCTTGTGACACAGTTGGGTGCTTTCCCCCATGTGTATTCTATCCGCTCCCAGCGCTTCTTCCTGATTTCTTCCTCCGCTGGGATCTGGTTTGTTCTCTCTCACAGTAGGTTGTTACTGATAGTGTTTGGACAGCGGATCTGAAGTATTTTGCCCATACAACCGTTAATAAGCAGTTGTATCTTCTGAATGATGGCTTTCGCAGTTCTCCAAGTTTCTGCCTCATATAGAAAATTCTGACATTAGTGTTGGTCGACCGTTGTTTCGAATTCTAGATGTTCTTCAGTTGTAGATATTCTGCTCTTGCTTTGTCGATCCGTGCCTTCCCATCTGCATCAGATCCACTGTGTTCATCAATGATGCTGCCCAGATATGTAAAGGTTTTTGCATCTTCCGATTGTTGTATCCCGTAGAAAACTAACTCGCTAAAAAACGATTGATGATACATACTATTTATATATATCGACATCAATAGCATGCATCACAGCAGTACTGTGAGGAAATCAAGGTTGATTTTTTACATCACTTACTACGAGGTTAATTTGTCCAATGTAGGTGAATTCTATGGAACGAATAATGCTCCTAATGTAAATAAAATATATATACTGGTGGTAAGTACAAAGTCTATATACTTGAAGCAGACTAAAATGTATTAACAGATACTACTAGTTAGGCAAGTCATTTATCATGATAAAAATGCTAATAACTCTATCTAAATCTGTTTGAAATGTCTCAATACGATCAGTTACATTTTGAATTTAATGGTATTTTGGTCTAGTATACAAGATGGAATATAGGTTACATCAAAATAACTCCTATATAAACGATGTAACTACATGAATTAAGATTAGTTTGCGATCACTGAACAAATACTATGATTAATAATTCAAATGCCTGAAAGAAAAAGACAAAGTAACTGACATACATTTTGTCATTAAATATTGGAGTTTGTTGATATGATGGATAAGGTTTTGTTGTAAAATCACTTCTAAGTCAATTTTTTCGATTCAGTATAATAAATGTACTCCTTAAAGTGTCTCGGAGTTTGAAAACATTTATATGCAGTTCGAAATATTATTTTAAAATTTAAACAAATCATTCGTTTTTGTTCATATTTTGAATGGACAGTTCAGTTAAATAGTTGATCCTTTATAAATGAATGATATATTTATATTATTAAAGATGGATATACACAAAACACAGAATAATAAAACGAATGAACTAAAAGAAAAGTAAGGAAAAATACACCCTACCATTCTACATATTAAATTGACATTAATATTATTAGGTCAAATTTAAAACGACGGTAAAGTACTTTGAAAAATCTGCGAGGGGTTTTATATATGTATGGCTTTATCAAACTCAGGTATCCGCCCTAGATCACTTTTATAAAATACTACAAAGGCTGAATTGAAATCATTCTTATATGTGGATGTATAGAGAATATGGGTGTTATTTGGTCTATATAAAATATTTAGTTTGGCTTCAATTAAGTTATTTATTCAGTTATGTATATTGCATGTCAGAATCATAACTTTCTAAAAATGTATGCCTACACGTATTTATTTTGTTAAACACAATAAAATGAGATATAATCACATATAGTCCTTTCATATTTATGGTGAAATATGAATCTTTTAAGAATTGTAAAGGAAAAATGTATTGGAATAATATATCACATAATTCTGATGAACTTCATCTCATAAAACTGTCAAATTTAACAAATCCAGTTCAATATAAAGGTATTTGTGGAGAGATAGAATTTTTCAAAGATTTTAGGTCCCAAATAACCTTAGATCATCATCGAGTACATGAAGGCAGTGAATGGCAATTTTGTTTCTAACATGAGACTCCTAAACAGTGTATATCCACGACACTTTCCGCAGAACTAGCTTCAACATTCAACTTCTGAATACACAGTGAGCAGCCGTAATTAATGGAGTTCAACTGTGTCAGGTGTGAGACAATTATTCACCTCAGGTAATGAATGAGTATTGGACAATATCGTGAAATCGAATTTCATATAAGAACAATTTCTTTATCCATTCTGTCTTGTAGTGATTTACAATCAAGATAAACCTATGTAAAAATTATATAACCAGTGATTTTTTCACAATAATTTACATCATCAAAATATATTCTATAAATCATTTTCGACAGTATCTATATACATTAGGTTCTCTAGTTTGTTTTTCAAGCATAAAAACAAATAAGCCAGAATACATAAGATGAATTTTGGATCTAAAATAAAAACTGAAGTAACAATTGACAATAAAAAAGCCAAAAACAAAACACCACACAATTGATTTTTTTTGGGAGGGAAAAAAATGTTGAAATTAAAAGGAGTATCGTGAAAATAGATACTTTGTAGTATCCACTTTTTTTTAAATTTTACGCAAAATGTAGTAAAATATTGTAATATAATTACATTTTAATGGTGAAGATTATGCACACTTAGTGTAAATGGAATGGGGAAAAAGCAAATTCCTTTTATTATTTTCAATAAATTGAATAAACAATTCAGCATCTTTTAAGTACTTTGTTTTGAAGAAGTTTCCAAACAATTCAATGAAACTTAAAATATATTTGTTTCTTTGATCTCTGCAGGAATAAATGGTTTGTTTAAGATTTATGTAAACTAACAAAAGAGTTCTAAATTTCTTACTTACTTACGCCTGTTACTCCTAATGGAGCATAGGCCGCCGACCAGCATTCTCCAACCCACTCTGTCCTGGGTCTCCTTTTCTAGTTCCATCCAATTCTTGTTCATTTTTCTCATGTCTATCTCCATTTCCTGGTGTAATGTGTTCTTTGGTCTTCCTCTTTTTCTTTGGCCTTCAGGATTCCATGTGAGGGCTTGTCTTGTGACGCAGTTGGGTGCTTTCCTCAATGTGTGTCCTACCCACTTCCAGCGCTTTTTCCTGATTTCTTCCTCCGCTGGGATCTGGTTTGTTCTCTCCCAGAGTACGTTGTTGCTAATAGTGTCCGGCCAATGGATCCGAAGTATTTTGCGTAGACAGCTGTTATTAAACACTTGTATTTTCTGGATGATGACTTTCGTAGTTCTCCAGGTTTCTGCCCCATACAGCAGAACTGTTTTGACATTTGTATTGAAAATCCTGACCTTGGTGTTGGTTGACAGTTGCTTTGAGTTCCAGATGTTCCTGAGTTGTAAAAGAGTTCTAAGGTACAACAATTTATTTTGTAATCAATATGATACATAAAATGAAAAATAATTTGGATTTAGCAACATCTGTCTTAAATATCCTTTTAAAGTTAAGACTATAATCTATCTAAAATGGTTGATATTGAATTATGATATTTCTTTATGATTAATGTGGAAGTGGATTTCTTCTTGATTCTACCTTTTCGTTTTTGAAAATAATCAATTCTTACTTATCTGGGTAGTTACATACATACATCTAGAACAATTATGATATTAACATCATCTGTAAAAATATCATCAAGTTGAATAAGCATTTAGCGGGACCCTTTATTTTGTCGTCATTTAGATCGGACGATTT